AAGATTGAATCTTGTCGCCCGCCCCTAAATCTAGCAATATCAATCCTATCATGAGTCGGCATTCATCACGCGTCGCGGTTGGTAACCGTACAGGACCATTGCCTTCGGGTGCAGGCAAAAGGGCGGCTTAGCCTGCACGAAGCAGCTATAGCTGCTGCTGAGCTATAGCTGCCGCTGCACCCGGGTGGTTCGTGCCGCACATGATCTTGTCTCTGGATTCGCCCGATTATCAGTGATTTTCGCCCATGTTTCTGATCCATGAAGTGCTCATACCTTGGGTGGGTTGTGCACGGCAGTGCCTTCCTCCGTTTCGCCTCAGAGATCTCTCCACGCAGCCCTAATCCCTCTCTCGTTGCAGGGAGACGCAGGACAGGTAGGCAAGATTCTACGGAAGATACCACCCCTCTGGCGGACTTTACGCTCCGAGGTCCGTCGCGGGTGCGATCCCTTTCACCTTTTCAACGCCACTATACTTTAGAGGTGTCCACGACGATTCTATAGAGGGCTGCCCTAATTTTGGATCGCAACTACAGCCGGAGCTATTGAGAAACTTCGGTTGGTCGCTATGGTGAAGGCCAGCTGCGAGGGGTTCCGTGAGTCATTGGTCGAGAACAAAAAAAAGAAAAATGGGGTGTACGGAGCCCCTTGCAACCCGGGTGGGCTAGACCCACCGAGCCAGAGCTTTGAGGTCGAGTTCCTTGCTTCGTTTCAGTGTGCGCGACACAGACTATCTCGAGTTGACAATCGTAGCTTCACTGGTGTCTCTAGGAGGAGCGAAATGGAGGGCTCTGACAACCCAATTCACAAGGGCAACCAAGCATTCATCGACGAAGACTATCCCGCAACCCTTCAGGTACGCCCTCGCCGGGCGCTTTGCTTCGTTACGTTGCTTGTTGCCCAGCACTGCGCTTCCTCGCCCATACTTGTAAGCTGAATGTGGCCTTACGCGGAGGAGTATGTGTTCGATACCTGTCCATGGGTCATCTGGTTCGTGCACATGTAATACACAGCTTGCTGTTGGCCAAAAAATCTCTGGATTTTGGTGTACCATCGGCGATCTTCTCGAACAGGAAGGATGTAAGGCAATAGCTTCAACCGTAGCTTCATGGGCAGTACTACCCACGCTCAACATTGTTGTTCGGAGGGATCTTGAGTAAAAGAGTTTAGCAATACTCGCGAGAATCCCAAAGACAATGAGGGCACAGGGCACTCATTTCGCGTACAGCCACAGATAACTAAAGTCACTCTACATCAGTATTGATAGCAGTCTCCCCGCAAAGGTTGAAGATATTACGATGTCACACCGTGCAGAGGGGGTCCCTGTTTAGTGCCGGTATGTACCCAGAAAATTCACCGGCACTTCACCGGACCGGTACCATTCAAAGTACTGACGATGAATTGGAAATTCATTGTGTGCCCGTCGAAATCGCCGGCACTAAACGGTACTATTCAAAGTACTGACGATGACTTGGAAATTCATTGTGTGCCCGTCGAAATCGCCGGCACTAAACAGGGACCCCCTCTGTTCACCTTCTGTACCCGAGAGCCAAGACGAAGTCCACCGACAACCTCTTGCGTGAGACCAACACGTACTCTCCCCTATTCTCTTCGAACCCAGACGCCGCTTTGTACCGAACCAAATGCATGTATGTGTCGCGTTGTCAGGCTTATGGAGAGGCGATCTCTCTCGGAGGAGAGGGTGAGGCCCTTGCCAGATCCAACCGAGCGGCGGTGTACCTGAAGCTCGGCAAGCACACCGAAGCTCTCCAGGATGCCTCGGCCGCGGTGAAGCTGATGCCCACGGAGATGGCCTTCTACAGGAAAGGGTGAGCGATCCCCCGGCCTCCGGCGGCTGCTGCAGTTGCCATTGCAATGTGCACGCAGCTGTTGTTCCAACATAACCCTCAGGAATTGGACAATATGTTCCTTCAAAAATTTCCACTAAAGAAGTAGCTCATAGTTTTGCTTGAGCGTCATTGATTGTCTAGAGCAAGGTACCTCCTGCGCTATGCATATAAGCCACAACTCCGCGCCAAAACCGGCATAAGCGGCTCCGGTCGGTCGATAACCAACACCCCCGACACGTCCCACCCACCCAACGGAAGGCTGGCAGCTTTCGCGTTGGAAGAGTTCGAGACCGCGCTGGAGGCGTTCCGACAAGGCAAGAAGCTAGAGGAGAGAGGGGACAGCAGCGACCCCCGCAAGTACCGCACTTGGATTCGCAAGTGCGAGGCCGAACTGGAGGCCGAGGAAGAAGCGCATGCCGCGGCCGCCGCTTCCTCCGACCGGAGTATGCCCACCACCACCACCACCACGAGCGATATTGCTCCGGTGTCCGGCGGTAGCGTTGGCGCCGCTGCTACCCCGGTGAAGCGGACGCCCGTGCTGGCGTCTTCGACCGCCCCCGCGCACCTGCGGATCAAGTTCCAGTACTACCAGAGCTACGAGAAGGTGACCGTGGCCGTGCTCGAAAAGGGACTCAAGGAGAGCGAGGTCAAGGTGGACGTGGAACCCAAGCGCCTCACGGTCAAGAGAAAAGCGGGAGACAACGCCGGTGCCCTGCTGTTCGACAAGGTGCTGTACGAGGAGGTGCTCCCGGAGAAGTGCCGGACGCGTTTCATGGCCTCCAAGGTGAGAAGAGAACGGGAGACGTTGCAGCGAGGAGCGGCTGGTAGGCCGGTCCGTTCGCTTGGTAGGGGAGTGTTGTCTCGAGGAGAGAAGGAACTCAAGCAAGTCGTGTGTTGTTCGAACCGTTTAGCGTTAGACCTTGAGAGATGACAGAATTTTTGCAATCACCGCAAACCGCAGCCCCCGCGATCACTGCACACATTATTGCTGTATGTCATTTGCTACATGCGCGGCAACAATAAAAACAGGTGCAGCGTCAAATAGCAACACTCAACCTTCCCGGTTTGTCGAGCCCCTGTAACGTCTTTAGGGGCAAAGCCATGCCCTACCCCTGCAGGACAACACACACGCTCGTTCATTCGTGTTACGCCAAGGACCCCACGGGGTACGTGCTATGTGACCAATCCCTTAACCCCCCCCCCCGCTGCATTCGTATTCTGCAGCTGCCGCGTTTGCGACCCCATCATGTTCAGTTTCAGTTGTCCAATTCATTTTGGGGGTACTTGTTGGGTATTACTTGGGTGGGAACAGAGAACCTGTTCGTCCTGCCTGGTTCTGTATTCTCATCCCCCACCCCCCGACCCCCCCCGGGTTTGGATGTTCCCCCCCATGGTGGGCTGCGTGCTGTGTTGAATTCAGCTGGAAGTGACGATGACGAAGAAGTCTCCGGCGGACTGGCCTGAGCTGGAGGGTGCAGCAACCCCTGCAGTCAGACCAGCTGCGGCAGCTACGGCCGCGGACGCTAGCTCTACAAGTGGAGAAGCTCCTGTGAAGCAGCCTCCTACGAAAGTTGCCCGGCCTTACTCTAGCACCAAAGACTGGGATGTGGTGAGCCTGCTTGTGCTTGTTTGGTGTGTGTTGCCTCTAAGCCGAGCGCGCCATGACTCAGTCCTATTGCCACGCCAAGCCTCTATCCAATTTCCAGGAATGTCCGTCATCGGTGCTGTCGAGCTTAGTTGCCTTCTTGCTGCCCGCTTTGAAGGCAGAGGCGCTCCGCTCTTCTTCAGGTTACTTTCCCACCGCACCTGCTCATCCCTTTGTGTGGTTTCAAGTTTTACGGTGGTTCCATTTTCTGAACGTATGGTGTTTGGTGTTGCTTCTTGTTTTGCGGTATGGTCATGATGCTGCTATGCAAAGGTGGAGAAAGAGGTGCAGAAGGAACTCGAAGCGGAAAAGCCGGGCGGGGAGCAAGCCTTGAACGACCTCTTCAAGTCAATCTACGGCAAGGTTAGTCAGTCCGTGGCCGTTGGCGTTGAACCGTGTGTTGGTAAGGCTGCTGTTTTTCTGTGTTGTCGCAGTTTTGTTTTGTCGTCAGCTGGGAAAAAGGCCTTTGTGCTTGTGTGGGATGCGAGGCCTTGGGTGGTGTTTGCTTAGTGGGATCCTCCTGTCGTGGTTCCCCTTCAGTTATTAGCGTGTGGCATAATCTCCAATCTGGAAATAAGCTGGCTTGTGAAACGGGTTTTTACAATCACGCAAGTCTCCAAAACGTGTGCTTCATTCTCGAAGGCATCCATACCTCGCGCGATGCTATTACGAACTTGCGTGATCGCGTTTCGCAGGCGGATGAGGACACACGCAGGGCCATGGTCAAGTCCTTCCAAACGTCTGGAGGGACCGTGCTATCTACCAACTGGGACGAGGTGAATGCGGGATGGTCATGGCTAACCGCGCGACTCCATATAAATCCGGCTCATGTTTTGTTGTTGCCGTAGTTGACGGACATGAAGGTGGCACGGCAGAAGACGCAAAGATTGATTATGAAATCACTTGTTACTTCGACAACGTGTGGGAACATTTGCGCAGAGGTAGCACAGAAGGTTGCAGGAATTAAGGAAAAATAAATACACAGAAAGACTGCCATGCAATATTGACCCGCACGAAGACGATCGCACCATCGACGGCTTCAATCGTAGTAACGAAGAAAAAAAACGTTCTTGATGGGAACGCTTTCTTTCGTCAGCGACACTGTAATCAGGTACCGTAGGGGAGAGGTGGAGAGAAAATAACTCCGGTGTTACTTCCCTCCTGTGTGACCCTGGCTGGAGGGTGAAACAAAAGCACACTCACTTGATTTAAACCGTAGTGCTCACGGATCTCGAGGACCCAGAACAATGTTGCTGGTGTGCGAATCTGTAGGTGATAATTGAGAGTCTACAGAGGGTTGCACAACATTTTTCTTCGAACTTACTGAGAAATGACTGCCGTCACCGAAGCATAATAACCGTGGGAGGATCCGCACAATCAGCGCTGTAGTGGCTGAAACATGCGTGCGTGATGGTAGTGTATGTAACACACAAGTGGAGAACGGCAGAGGAAAGTACGCACAATAAGAGTAAGGCTGGATCTGTTCGTTAAACGTGGCGACCGTGTCCGTAAAGTTCCCGCCACTGCTGCCACCTGTCTTAACAAAGCTGTCTTGTCTGTTGATGTATACCCATGGTACTGCTGTACTGTAGGTTGGAAAGGCGGACTACGAGAAAGAGCGCCAGGCGCCCAAGGGGATGGAGTGGAAGACATGGGAGGGCGAGAAGCTGCCGCAGAAGGAAGACGACGACAACTGAAGTATTGTACATCGAGACCGACGAACGATGCACGCAACGATCTCTGCAGCACGCTTGGTTGTCTTCACCAGCGTCGCGCGGTCATCTGTTGATTGCTTGGCGATGATTGTGCGGGAAAGACACGAGTTGGAAGTAGCAGCAAGCGGGTCGGATAGAGCAAGGGTAGAGCACGCGTACTGTACGGTTCAAGCCGCGTTGGCTGTACCGAAAAAATCGTCAGGAACATGCGCGTCCTTTGCAGAGTCACACCCGGTCAGTGGACCCAAAGTTGCTCAGCCTTTTGAGCTTGCTCTACGGACGGCAGCCGGGTGTGCAAGGAGAAGGTGGCGATGAAAGTCAAGAGAAGCTCTTCATACCTTGCACAAACGATGTATGGATTCGAAGTTGAAACAAGGAGTTTATTGCCCAACGGCGGTACAGCGGTACCGTTACACATCCTTCAGTCCATGCCGATGCGCGTTTGCAACGAACCTCCACGGGCTTCTGGTGGGAAATTGAGTTCGAGCTCGAAGATGGCAGACACGGTCAACTGGTAGACGTTGTAGTGAGACGCGAGCGAGGAGTCTTGTGCCTGTCATGAGCTTTCCCGCGTACTTCCTCGATGCACCCGCTGCAGTTGGCGTCCATCGTTGTTACCGATATCATTCGAAACAAAAAAAGTTATGTGCGCGAGACGTTATTCGATCGCTTGGTACCGACGTCTCCACAACACGGTCTTCGATACAAACTACGTGCAAGCCTTTCGCGACACCGTTCAGAGGATTGGTTCGTTCCGACAGCACTCCGTACCTGACCAAGCGTAACTGCAGCAAAAGCCAACGTCGTATCGGCACCACGTGTGTTTTCGTCGTGCCATCGCTACCAGCCAGGTACCTGCCGTCGGTACGCCCAAGCAACGTCCCCCCGCGCCAATGAGCGCACGATGCACCGATCGATCACGGACGGCTCCAAAACAAAACAGTGACGTATCCCCTTGTCACACTTCGACGTCGGCTATCTCACCCCTCTTGGTTCCCTGGTTTGCCAACAAGCAAACCGTGTCTAACACCGAGGAGTCCTGGGAACAAAAACAGATCGATCCCGTTCTTATAAAAAAGCCTGCGACCATGACAGCGGTTGCCATTGAACTGTCGCAGCCTTCTTCTTGTGTCCATGACGTCACACGTCCGACCGAAGCTTCAACCTCGCATCCATCCGATTCCCCTAACGCACACAACCCTTGGATGCTTTCCGCCACCTTCATGCCTGCACGGGCACCGCCGCCGCCTCCGCGCTTGCCCCTGCAGCTCCCAAATCCGGCGTTGGGGGACCTCGCACGACCTTGATACCATCGGCCGTCACCACCTTCTCGCCAACGAGACACGTCGGTTGGGCAACACAAGAACGTGTTTCACGGAACACCAACAGTACAGACCACTCGCAAACAGATATGAAGCCAACGCATGTCAACAGTGGGCAACTCCAAGCGTGCATTCCGCTCATACACGGCAAGGTAGGTTGTTACGCTACTTCAAACATGGAACGAAGAAACGAATCCAACGCTAACGTTGCAACGCGGCGTGTTTCACTGGCGATGAACCTATTCTATTTATATTTTATGTAGGCCGTGTTCATTTGCGGGATGCATCTCGACCGGAGCAACACTCGACTACGAGTAAATGTTCCCAACACAATTACAAACTTCTTGTGGTTCGAGAACACTTCCTTGCTGATGCAACAATCAGAGTTCGGAGGGATATATCTAACAGAACCATGTTCAAACAGAAACGAACGCACGACGCATATCGCACCTTGATGACAAAGTTCTTTTGCGCAATGAGAAAGCGTGTGTGCAGCTCCTTGATGCAGCTGTCGATGATGCCCAACGCCTCATCGAGCGAGAGACCCTTGACGTACTCCCTGTCCATCACCGATAACGTAAACGCCGCGCCATACCCGTGTGCGCCGTACGGCACCTGGAAAAAACAAAGAAACGGCCCAACACGACAACCCGCCATCGCGGCAATGGTCAGTCGACGCCTGTTGCTTTGCGGCGCTAAGAGCTTTGAAGGAATGGTGCTCACGCGTCACGGCGGAAGGGGTGCTCAGCGATGAGCTCCACGACACAGGTCGGACAAGTACAGAAACAGCAAACATGGGGAGATGAGATGGAAGGGCATAGGTTTTGACGCTAACATAGCGCTCAATAGCCAGCGAGAAAAGGTGGGTACTGTAGTGTAGACCGGTCGGGTAAAATAAACTGATGGTACAGCGTTGGATACATGGTCTTGGTATATATGGTATGTGTTTATTCTCGTCTCTGACATTGTGTACCGAGAACATGCCTCGCCAAAGGCAGGGCAGATGTTGCGGTACAAACAAGACGTCATGCAGTACCTCCGCCCTCATCCACCGATTCACCCGACGCATGTGACTCTCATGACTATCCGTCCACTAACAGTCAGGGGGGGAAGGGACGGTGGCTTTCGTCGAGAGCTCACGCACCCGACCATTTTCCCGTCTACGTTGTGCTGAAGTTGGGGGCTTGTTGGCGACTGAGGGACAGATAGGTCATAGCGTCCGATGGGCCAACAAAGTAAAGCGTCAGCAACAACTGCCGCCGACACAAAGCAATTTCACACGGTTGCTACACGTGCAGGCAGCGGAAGGTCTCCGTAGTCTGGCTGCTGCGATAAGGCGTGTGCCTCTACAGTAAGGTGAACGCGGGAAGAGGCAACTTGCGAGTCACCTTCTGCAGGGTCCCGAGGTAGTCCACCCAGAACAACGACGCCTCGTCCTTGCCCGCTTCCCGCTTGTCAACGCCTCCCATCAAGAGCTGCGTCTGAAAGGGGCCCTTCCGGAGTGCCTTTGCCAGCTGCGTATCATACGACACACAAACAAAGGGAAATCAGAGAATCAGAGAGAGAGTGCGTTAGGCAAGCCGCCTGCTGCTCACAAACAAGTCATGGTGAACACGGTAACTCGATGAACTCCTCCTCGGTGCATGGCTGCCGGGCAAGCTCGTTAAGTGTAAAAAATGGCGGAGGTTGAAAAGTTTCAAGCATAAGACAGTTTTTTTTGGAGGAAAATCCTCCGACCAGAAGCGTGATGACGCAGATAGACCAGCATCACCAATGCTCTCCGATACAGCAGTGCAACATGTAAAATGCACCAATGTCCAGCCAGACAGCTGAATAATAATTACCGTTCCAACTACTGTTCATACCGCCATTGTTGCGAGATGTACAGATTCAGCCGGGTATCGTGGACATGTAATCTGCAAATAACCCATCTACGCCGACAAGAAACGCAGAGTACATTACAGCTTCACACCTCGCCCCGGATGAAGGTAGCCGCCGCTTTGGTGGTGAGCTTGACGTCGTTGTTCAGCTCGTACAGAGCCATGTTCTTCGAGATGTACTCGGTGAAGGAGACGCAGTCGGACTGGGGCCCGGCGCAGGCGAGGGCCTTGTTGTCCGCGAGGTGCGCGATCTTGTCCATGTTGTTCTTGTACAGGAGGATAGATCGCGCCACTTGTGCGTCCGCCGCCAGTACCACAAACCTGGGAGGAACGTTACAAAGGGAGACTTCGTTCGGCTCGGAGAAAAGATTGCAACAGGCTCTTGCAAGCTTGCCCGAGTTGGGAATCAAGGTGCTCGTCGTTTGGCTGGAGATGAACAGTGCAAAAGGTTCTTGTAAGCTTGCACGAGTTATGCATAGGAGTAAAGTTGTCGTACACGTAGTTCACACCGGCAGCTAACGTGTTGGCGTAAACCGCAGCAGTTGGTGGGTGAGGGAGGGTGGCACGGGGGAACGGCAAACCAAGTATCTAGGCATCATTCAGCGAAGATGTGGATAGGAACCACTAGGACCTGACGGGATTGACACTGTCCCAGAAGCAATTCGAGGATGGGGCGCGGTAAAAAATGCCGCTTGATTGCTTGTCTGCATTCTACAGTGGTGGTGCCACGGCAGGTGGTGCTCGGGGGTCTAGCTTATTATGTGGACCGGTGTGAAGGGGTGCTCGATCGTGTGTCCCATATGCTACACTCCTGACCACGTACACCATTGCCAAATATTGTGGCGAACGCGATTTTCCTTCACTGCTGCCCTGCTTCTGCATTCCGACCAGACTGCAGTGACATCGTCTAGTCTTGGTACATGTGTTGAGCGCCGGCCGACATCGCGCGGCCTGCCGACTACACCACCGCACCCACAGCCATGTTGCACCAACGTTTCGGACGAAAAGCTCACACTGCCGGCGCACAAACAACCTGGAACCATGCTGGCATGATGCTTGTTTTCGTTCGAGGATGTTTCGGGTGCCTCACAGAAATCCAGCAGTCTACGCAGCAAAATTGATTAGCAAACATATGGGATAAAGTATTCAACCCGTGCTTAGGGGTTAGGGTGAGGGGTAGGGTTCGCGTACCCCCTCCCTATTCTTTTTCTCGATAGTCTTAAAATCCTTCGTAGGCGGTCCCCGAAATCTCGCCTCCCGAACCTACAAAGCGGTCATTGTGTTCCAAGAGTGTGGTCTTGTACGGCGGTGATAAGAGGACAGGCCCGCTTCAGGCTTTTGTGGGTGTCAGTTGTCTGAGTGAACCCGTGCGCTACTGCTTTAACTGGCATAGTCTCGTCTCGTCCTGTGTTCCTCGGAGGGCGAAGCTAAACCCTCGAGTAACTGCCAACTGACTGCCGTGTGCTTGTGTCGGCCGTTTCGCTGTGGCTTCGCCGTGGCCCAATGAGGCAGACCACTGGGATACAAAGCTCTGCCTCCTTCGAGTTCTGCTGCTGCTGCTGCGGCAGCGATTTCCTTATACCGTATGCATAGGCGATGCCGATGTGCACGAGATCGTCTCTTTCCACGGCAGCAGTAGTGCTACAGCAGTATAGCCCTCTCCGCCCGGCAACGCCGTTGCAGGTGCCTGCAATGCAACCAAGAGATGAGAGGTGCACATTGCCGTCTCCCTCTACATGTACCTCCTTCCTCCCCTATCCTCTGCAATGAGGGCCCCTTCGGTTGGTCTACAATCGTCACAGATCGCGGATCGTCAGAGAGTGAGACAACGACGCAACGCACCACGAGAATCCAGCTGTAATGTATGGATAGGTGCGGATGGTCGCCCCTAGCATGCAGCTTCGTTGCCGCACGAACCGGGCGTGTTGATCCAACGGGCTGCACGCATCAGATACCGACTTTGAAACGCTCAGCAAAGCTTGCAGCAAAACAAGCGCTCTGGTTCCCAGTCTCAAGGATACTTCGGACGTGGCTTACCCTTCCCCTGCGATCCCCAACAGGGTGTCCATCTCTCCCTCCTAATCGGCTGCTGCAGGCAAGAGCTGATCCCGATGTTCCTGCTTTCCTCGCTCTGTCCTTCGAACGGGCTCTCTTTTATTCCACCGTTCTATGATCTCCGCTTCCAGACAAAGATGTGCAGTGCTCGTCCTCCCTACAATGGCCAGGTGACAAGCTGCGATAGGATACTTCTGAGGGGTTGACGGTGTACCGAGCGCAAGCGCAGGAGAGAACACTGGAGAAAATGGACATTTGGGAGTTCGTAGTGAAAGAGGAGGCGAGTTGTTGTGCGGCACATAGGGGGAGTTGTGCGGCGTGACATTTCCCTGTCTGCAGGTCTCTGAGCAGGTCAGACTCAGTCCAGCACATAACACTGAACGGCTGGATCAGATACGGGTGCCACCTAGGCAGCAGTTAGAGATGAAGAGTTCACCGAGATCTTGCCTATCAGGTGCAGGGTACACGGAGCTAGTTTGCATAGAACAGCACGATTGAGTTGAAAGATGAAGGTTACTGAAGGGCCAAACGGTACCGTGCGGGCCGACTGAATAATTTATGTACTTTCTGGATCTTGGACAGGAACGCAGTCACATTCGCTCAAGTCATACGTCTCCCTCCCCCTCTGCAAACAATAACTCTACGTGCCCGCTGCTGGCTGCACTGCTCTTTCTCTCTAGGAGACTACGATGGCTGGGAAAGAAAAGCTCAACTTCCAGTCCAGACGGTCACCTGTGCTGGGCACCCATGCCGCGGTGTCTACCTCCCAGCCCCTGGTGAGATGACAAGAGAACGTGAGCATACAGCAGTATTTAGTCTAGTCCAGTGCGTCATTGAAGTGGTGACAACAACGTGCTGTGCCAGCGACGAACCCTTGCGTGCGATCTTCCCCCACAGTAGGCTCAACCACCAAGATTGCAACGCACACACCATGCATCGCTGTTTCCAGCCTGCAGAGCACATTCTACATGCCGTCAGCGGTATCTCACAAGAAGGCTGCTGTGACACGCCCGAGATCCTGACCAGCCGACACGCGCCAGATCCATGCTCTCGTTTCAGATTGGCCTCACTCGGTTTTTCTTGTACAGGCGACGGATATTGGCGCCAGGATCCTCCGGTCGGGTGGCAATGCGGTCGATGCCGCCGTCGCGGTTTCTGCTGCCCTATGTGGTGAGAGTTCGTTGTTCAACCTTGACTACTTCTGTGCGGAGGGTCTGAGAAAGAACTTCATTCAGTGGCCCCGCCTGTACCGGTTTTTTCATTTTGGACCACATCACACGCGCGTGCCTCGCTGACTCGCCACACACTCCCACTACGGGAAAGCAAAGGCACACTGACGCCTGTCTATCTTGGTGCTGCCGACCCAATCCGAAGGAAGCTATCGCAATGATCTGACGTAGCTTCGACACCAAAAAAGAGTATACACTCAGTGAAGAAGGCCCCCACGCCCTGATTTCCCCCCCGCCCCTGCCCCAATGTACCCGCCCGGGGAAACGTCCAGTGCTGGAGCCCTGCTCTACCGGCCTTGGGGGCGACATGTTCATGCTCTACTACGAAGCCTCCACCAAAGAAGTACACGCGGTGAACGGTTCCGGCAAGGCACCCGCCGCCCTCTCCCTGGAACGCTGCCTCGAAGACCTGGGAAAGGCAACGCCGGCGACGGCGCCAGAAGCAGCTGCGGCCGCCGCGGGCGGCGGCTGCGGCAGCGGTAGCGGTCCGAAAGATATACCTCCGTGCCACCCCCACTCGGTGACAGTCCCCGGGGCCGCGGCCGGGTGGTGCGACTCGTTGTCGAAGTTCGGCTCCGGCGCGTTGACACTCTCTGAGCTCATGGAGCCGGCGGCAGTGCTTGCCGAGGAGGGTTTCCCCGTGTCGCCCATCACCGCCCATCACTGGGGGCTGAATGCGTATCAGCTGGAGACGGGGCCCAACAAAGGTAGGTGTGCTTTCGTTTTGGCGTAAGAAGAGAGAAAGAGAGAGGTCAAGAGCCCGACCCCTGTCAAGAAACAGATTTGCTGCTGTTTGGGGGTGTAGACGATGGAACTCTCAGAAAACCTGATGTACTTGGAACCTTCACTCAAACCCGGTACACGGAAATGTATATCATCGACAGTCACGCGGCCCTCTCACTCCTGTACTTTTTTCGTGTAAAATTTTCATCTATTAGGGGCAGCCCTGCTCATGCCGAACGGGAGGACGCCGTCGGCGGGCGAAGTGTTTCGGAACCCCGACATGGCGGGCGTGTTGCGTGAGCTAGGGACAGGCGGGAAGGAGGAATTCTACGGCGGCCGTATCGGGGAAGCCGTGGTGAAGGTGCTCCAAGAAATGGGCGGTGTGCTCACGATGGAAGACCTAAAGGTGAGGCCAGAGGGACGAAACCATCGCCAAACGCCGTTGTTGTGTTTCCATCGGCAGCAAGGTTGGCCACGTAGGGCAGGGGTGTTTAAAGCAGTGCCTGCTTCGGACAGCGCAGTGCAAGGCTCGTTGCCAAAGGTGCTTTTAGATCGACAGCACCTCGCGGTACTCTCGCCTTCGCGGTGTCCTACCCCCCCCTCCCCCCGGGTACAACTGCGCTTGTGTCGACTATGGGTAGTGCCCCACTTTGACACAAGTTGTAGGGCATGCGTGTGACTTTAGGTCGTATTCCTGCAAGATACTACTGTACGTCGACGGCATTGGCTATTGTCCACCCAGGCCCACACCACCGCTTTCGTGGAGCCCATCTCCGTGGAGTTCGCCGGGGTACGCGTGTACGAGGTCCCGCCGAACGGGCAGGGCATCGCCGCCCTGCTGGCCCTCAACATCCTCAAGGAGCTAGGGGTAGTCGAAGAAGCGAGGGCTGCTGCTGCTGCTGCCACTGCGGAGGATGGCGGGGAAGCGGCGTACCTGCATAGACTGATCGAGGTTCTCCGTCTTGCCTTTGCGGACACGCGGTGGTACTGCGCGGACATGGACAAGGCGGAAGTACCGGTGAAGGAGCTGCTAGGGCAGGCTTACGCCGCGGAGCGTGCCCGCCTCTTCGACCCGACGAGGTTAGCGGCCAGACACAACAGCAGCAACCAGCCAGTTCCCCACTATCAGGATGTAGCAATACAATGTACACTATGTTGCTGTCGCTTGCAAGGTTTTTGTACATACGGCTGTTGCAATGTCGATTGAAATGGATTGGGCGACGAAACTCTTGTCACGAGCGTGGTTCCCCGTGATATGTTTATTACTACGTGTGACTGTAGGCCCAAGACCTTGATCGACTGGGAAATAAAGCACACAAGCATCCGAACAACCGTCGGTACCGTTAAAGGAATCTTTTTCACACATGCATACCATGTGCCTGGCGCCAAACACGAGATTTTACTCACCAGAACAAGCTGTTCTACCTCCAGCTGTATAGTCGTACGTGTGCGTGCTCTGCGGTTCCCATTTTTTTATATGATGGCCTGGCTTCTGAGGCCGCCGCATGCATCGCCAACTACTTATCATCCTTCCAGGGCGTCAGCCGACGTGAAGAAGGGTACTCCGACCAAAAGCTCGTGCACAGTGAGCTTCCAGGTCGTCGACGATCAGGGAAATGCCGTGTCTTTTGTGAACTCCAACTACATGGGGTTCGGTTCCGGTATTGTCCCGGATGGGTGTGGGTTTTCCCTTCAGAGCAGGGGCTCTAACTTTGTGCTCGACGCCGAGCACCCCAATGTTCTGGCACCGGTGAGTGAGGAGTTGGTTAGAGAACGGCTGACGAATTCAGCATCAGGAGATAGATGTTGGGGTGTAGCTCGAGATATGCAGCGGGTATGGAGATGTGGAAGGCCAGAGACCCTGAGCAAAGGGAAAGATAGAACGCGAGTTGGAGGGATGGATAGACGGTAGGCGTTTGTTTGTTTCTATGCCTCGCCAGGCCACCTTTAAATCACCAAGTCGCGCAGATTTTTTGGCTTGTACCACTTGTGCTCTAAGCATGCCCACGCATGTCACAGCTTGTCAAAGGAGCCAAGAATGTTGCTTACAATAGCTGTCCGCGATCTACACGACCACCCGCATCTTCGGTGTCTTGTATGTGTCTCCCCCCCGCTCTGCCAACCAACTGCCGATCAGACAACAGCTGAGAAGAGAATCGATCCGTGAATGTACCGTATATCGTGAATCAGGGAAAGCGGCCGTACCACACAATCATCCCTTGCATGGTGACGTCAGAGGCCACAGGAGAGCTCTTCGCAACGATGACCAACATGGTGCGTTCCCGCTTAAGATCAAGGTGTTACATGTAATCGTTGTTTTGTTGTTGTTGTTGTTGTTGTTGTTGTTGTTGTTGTTGTTGTTGTTGTTGTTGTTGTTGTTGTTGCTGTTGTTGTTGTTGCAGTGTCGTTGCTGTTCATTGTTGTTGCTGTTCATTGTTGTTGCTGTTCATTGTTGTTGTTATTTATGCTCAAACCCGTCTCCACCCGTGCACTAAGCTAGTCTACCCCTTACAGAACAACATGTAACCGCCGTGGTTGTAGACCGCCCGAACTGGGGGACAAGAATGGATTGTGAGAAAGTCGAGAAGAAGAGTTGTGTTACATGGGATCTTTGATCTACATTTCAAGCTTGGCGATTTCCGGTGAACGTACCGCGCAAGCCTGTCGTGGTCGTCGGCCTTGGTTCGGGCCCCACACGCAACTCTCGGTGTCACCAGGGCTCACTATTGTGTCCCTGGTACTACCCGAAGTTCCTCGATGAAGACATATTCGTGGAAGCTTTCCGCAGGCAATCCATTTGATGTTTACACCCGCCCAACCCAGCGTAGCATTGATGTGCAAAGAACTACGCCGTTGTGTGCATGAAGGACGTGCTTTTCAGCGAACGATTCCTTTCGCTTCTGAATTCGCACTATCATCCTACATATGCTGTCTCCGCATTGTCCATACCCTCTGCGGTACATGGGGGTTCATCCAACCCCCAGGGCCACGCGCAGCTTCTCTCGAACCTGCTCCTGCTCTTCAGCTCTTCTTTTTCGCTTCTGCAATCGCGCTAATCATCAGTATTGCTTATTGTCTCTCATACCCTCTGCCGCACAGGGCGCATTCATGCAACCCCAGGGCCACGTGCAGCTTCTCTCGAACCTGCTCCTGCGGGGGATGGACCCCCAGGCCGCCATCGACGCACCCCGCTTCTGCATTCGCGACGGCATGGCCAACGGGGCCGTCGCCCTTGAGCCTTGGCACCCCGACGTCGCCGCTGCCGCCGCCGGCCGTGATACCCCAGAGGGTGCTGACAAGGGCGAAGAGGGCTATGAGGCGGTAATATCGGAGCTCCAGCGTATGGGTCACGACATCAAGGTGGTGCGGGGGCACGCGCGATGTGAGATGGGGCGAGCTCAGGTGAGAAAACGCCGCATCATTGGGAGCTATGTTTTGTGCGAGGTAAAGTTGTCGGTCTTTCGCTTCTTGGCGGGTTTGCCGGTAGTAGTATAATCGTCGTATTGGAGGTCTTGCAGTAGCATGGCGGAGGTGCACGCTTGGCAAGGTTCGATGATTTTTGCGTGTTGAGGCCAACAAATGACATGCATGGGAAATTGATTGCCTCTCATATTGCTGTGGTTGACGATGTGTATCCGTTGCTCTTGTCTTAAACTTGCGTGCTGCGTCTCATGTCTTCCAATAGTACGACAGAACTATCTTACGCCATTGTGCCAAACGGAAAAATGACGAAGATATTTACAACCATCCGGTGCAACAAAGTACTTGAGGTCGGGGGATAATACTCTTGACCAGGCTGGTACAGAAGGAGCAGAGAGCGGGGTGCTTTGTCTCCACGGCTGTCATACGACACTAAGCCTCTCCCATCTCGTTGCGTGTGTTTATTTTTTTCTGCCCGTCCCTCGTGAAACGACCGAACGATCCTCAGATTATTCAGCGCAAAATGAGTGGTGGCACCCAGGTCCTTTGGTGCGGGTCGGATGGAAGGGCTGACGGGTGTGCTGTAGCGTGGTAATGTGGCAACGTGGTATTCTATTATTGGTGCAAATACCATGGTACGAATGGTACAGGACCATGGTACCACAACCGCCGAGGAGCAAGTGACATCGCGTCGGAAAGAGGAGTTGTTTTTTTGTGTGTACTTTTGTCCAGCAAGTGCGGCTGGTTGCGTGAGATGAAAAGGAGAAGAATACTTAGATGATGATGGTGTGTGAGTGATCGCGCGAGGTGGATAAGCAGCTACCAGAAAACTGTTGCGCGTGTTTGCCTTGTCCAAGAAGCTACGTGAAACGCCTTTTTTTTTTCGGGAGAGACGGCTCCATTATATCACCCCCTGGTCTCTCCACATGTCGCGTTTTCACGAAAGTCTTCACCCACGGTCATTTGGCGGTAATACGGTAGGATTCGGCACGGCACAAGTGTGTGTGTGTTTCTTGGTGTCTGGTGCTGCCTCTATTCTTCGGGCGGCCAGAGCAAGCCTTGACGCAACCTCATACCGAGACTTGGCGATTTTTCAAAGGTGGAGGTGGCGGAAGGTAGCTTGTGGCACCAGTACTTCCCCTACATGTCATGGCAGCTTGGAGGTGTATGAATGGTGTAATGTAAGGCCGTGGACAAGGCGGACAAGATTCCGTTTTAGGTTCTTTCGTTTCGGGAGCAGCAACCAATCCTGTGCAGCATTGAAACGTACGAACGTCGTGGAAAGTCCAAAACAACTGTCAAAATCACGCGGAGGTCGTTTTCCACCGACCAAGGAAACGGTCTCCTTCAAGACACGAATGTATGTTGCTGCACACCGCTGCCGAAGCAGGCTGCCGTGCCCCTCCACACGCTAGTTGCTGGCTGCCGGCTGCAACAACGTGTTGTCACACGATGCTCGCGATCGCGAAACGTTAGACTTGCCCCTCAACGTGGAGGAGGTAGGATCACCTCACCGCGTCCAAAACACATACATGCTGCATACATTTTCTCCGTGCGCATAATTTCACTGCACCAAGGCCAGATATTCCATGCTCTTCCAGATGGCCGTAGACACGAAAGACAGCGACAGTGACGAGCAAACCGACCGTTCACCCATCTCGCCCGCACACGACATTCCATAACCCCAATTCTGTTGTAAGTGCCCTGCCCACCACTTTGGTGGAAAATAACATACCCAGGAGGGACTGTTATACTGGCTACACAGCAATCCCCGTGCCGTAGGAAGTAATACTGGTACTACTGTAGAGCGCCGCGTCATCAAACACCATCACAAGACGCAACACCCAAAATTTCGAAAACATTTTACCCCTTGCCACTACACACCGGGGCTCTCCATCGGACACGAAACATCAACACACACTTTTCGATTTTAAAGTGGGCAGAGGAGATAAGACAGACCTTCGTGGCAGGAACGAATCCCCTACAAGTCTCAAGATGCCATCCGAGATCAGCCCCACCCAAAAGATCGGGACAAGAACGACAAGACAGGGAGACAAACACAAAGACAGCTGGCGACGATAACGAAAATGACAACCAACTGTACAGCTGTCGCTGTCACCTAAAGCAACATGACATGACATGCACACGCGTGTGTCACTACCCTACCCGATGCATCTGCTGCAACACAAACAAGATTGGTTGTTAGAAGTCGACTTCCACCACTGGTGCCACCTGGAATGCCTTCCTTCTCTCGTAAACGAAACGACTATCCATCAACACAGAGACTGAAACGTACATGTTCCCCGTCCCTCTCCCGTCGCGAGGCTTGAATACACTCAATACCTACCAAACATTGACCCAAAGCCGAGCCGATACAAAAGTACTAAAAAGAGCGCTCAAATCGCGACCATCGCCATCTTCATAAATGTAGAAAAAATACCAAACCCTTTCCTTGATAACCACGGCAGCACCGTCACGGCCCATTTCTTGTACATTTTCGCCGCAGAACCGAAACTCCGCGTCAAAAAAAAAAAAAAAAAGAGGCGGCTCTAGACCTCTCAACATTGTTTCCGCAACTCAAAGCAGGAAGTAAAGAAAGACACATAACTTCCAGCGCCAGAAAGAACTAAACAATATCGTCAAGATCGGGGAACAAGACGAGACATGAGAGCAGCGGTGCCCGAAAAAAATGCCGCCCACAGCTACAACCACACCAAATCTCGCTCTCTCCTGCTCCCGCGAGGAGATTCATTCCAGCGTTTTTTTTTTGTCCACTCTTGACATCGAAAAGTTACCACAAAAACAGATAACGTGACGCCACACACAACAGAGACAAAATTCTACCGCCACACCCGCTTCCTCTCCGTCATACTACTTCTTCACATACGCTCCTTCGACATGCACGATCCACGGCGTACGCGGGCCGATTGAACTATCCATCTAGTCTACAAGAAGAGCGTGCGGTCCTTCCTCTGCTTCGAAACCACTTGTCTCGTGTAACCCCCCCTCCAGTCATCGCCTCCCTCGAGACGACGCGAGAGACGACACCGAGGAAGCACTCCGCGGCGTGAAGGCCGAACGAGGGCTGCACAGCTCGTGCACGTGCTTAGACGCGTCGGGGCTCGTGAAGATCGGCCCTCCGTTGTGCATGCCGCCGCCGCCGCCGCCGCCACCGCCACCGCCACCGCTGCCCCCCCTCCCGCTGCGCGCCGCCCCCGCGCCTGAGCGGTTGCCGCGGCGCACGGCCGGCGAGCGTACGGCCTCGAGCCTGATCTTGGCCAGCGAAGGCGGCGGCCTGCCGTTGAAGTGAATGTTGTTCGGGGACCCCGGGAGGACGGTGACCGGGTGCCCGTACGACGAAACCGACACGTCGTCGGAGGACATGATGGACGGAGGCGGGGAGGACGTTGACGTCAGGCTCGTGCCTCCCGAAACCCCCATGGCTGACGAACCCCCCCCCCCGCTGCTGTCCACATCCACGTCTCCCCCTCCGCCCCCGCAGTTGGCGTTGTTCCCCCCCCGGAACCCGCGAAGGGTTGCGCCCCAGCCCCCGTCGGCCTCGGCCCGATCGCGGTCCCGCTTGTACCCCGGGCCGCGCTGGTTCGGTGGGTCCCACCCGCGCGACGAGGACGTCCTCTGGTCGCCGTTGGTGTTGGTGTTGGCGTTGGCGTTGGCGCTCCCGTTCCGCTCCGACGACACTACCCGTTGGTGGTGGCGGTGTTGATGTTGCTGCTGCTGCTGCTGCTGCTGACCGCGGAAGTCGCTGCTGTCGTCGTCGTCGTCACCGGCGTTGTAGTCGTTGTAGCCGTCCGCCGAGAGGGTGGAGTCGAAGAAGCACTTGGTGGTCACGCCGGCCCCCACGGTGCGGGGGACGCTGCTACCACTGCTACAGCTGCCGTTGTGGCTCCGCGTGCCGCCGCCGGCCTCGAAGCTCCGGTGGGAGCGGGGATTTCGGCGGTGCTGCTGCCGGCTGGCCTCGATCTCTGCTTCCACGTCGTCCGCCACGACACCCTCCACCTGATATTGCGTGGGGGGGGGCGGGGGGGGGGGGCGTACTCTTATGTTTTGCATGCCTTAGCGGTTAGACCATTGACCACGCGTCCTCGAGAGGACGGAGCATTGTTCCCACAGGACCAATCACCAACGGCCAATCGTTCCTTTCTACTTTACCAAAGGTGGCTTCTATCTATCCTACCGATATCCCTTCCCGCCTTTTCAAACCACCTCCTATGCCCCACTACAGCTACCGTCCTGTCCTCTCTATTCCATGCCTTAAACATCTCCCTGTCCGTCCCATCCATTATTCCCAGCTCAGTCACGTACACTTCCCTCTCCTTCT